TGCCCGAGTCCCGTCGGATTGCTTCGGCTGTGGGGATGAAGACGACAACTCCCATGATTCCACACTCAGTCATGGCATCATCAAACTACGCCTTTGTTTGTTTTGAATACGGGCCCTCTAGTTGTAAAAAATTACATATTGTGCCTTTAAAACATGCAGAATCTAATAAATTTTATTTTCTATTAAGATTTTAATTTTGTTAAGGAAAAATTACTGGAAATGTGTAAAGAATTAAAAAATGTGAAGTATTTGTCATGTTCTGGCCATAAAGAGTAGGCCTAGTTTAAAACCACAATCAACAGTCTGGTTTTTACAACTCTTACTTAGGAGCAAAAAGCTGCCTTTAAACTTAAAAAAAAAAAGAAAGATTTGAAATTTACTACTAATATGAAAAATTTTATAGTGATATTTTTTTTGGCCATATAGCCCAGCCCTAGTTGTGGTTTTATCACTATTAAACAGAGTACTGCTGTAATAGTCATCTTATTGTATGCAGGTTTCTCAAGCATGTGACTGATGTCATTGCCTATATGTAAAATACATTATATTCAAATTACCAACCATTTTTAAACAAGCTTTTGATGCCCTATTAGCAGTACGTTTCTCTGTGGTTTCCAGTGAGAGATGATCAACACTTTCAAAGCAGTGCAACTTCTAAGAAACCTTTGTAAGACATCCTTAAAGCAGCCAAGGCTGGTTTTCTGTTCTTACCTGATCTTCCTGGTGATCTGCTTTAAGCCGGGCTCACACTGTGCGATTTTTTTAAAAGTCCTTTAGGACTGTACTTGTCAGACTGTACGAACATGATGATCATGTCACACTGTGGGATCTCAGTTGTCATTAATGTCAGACTGTACGACAGTCAAGACGCGTTAAAAACGGGCGCGCGCAAGAACTTGTCCGGAGTTCTACATTATCAACCCTTACACGTTCAGCGACTGCGAGCTGCATTGCACGCGGGGCTGTAATGTTGGCTATCATTAAAAGTATATGAATGGCGGCAAAATACAGTGTATTTATGCAGAATAGTGCAAGCAGCACTACACACCCCACATGAAAACAGCAGCGCAACCGGTGTTTATCATAGCAAAGGCAACAAATCATATGAATTCTGTGAGCAGAGGACGAGAGCGCCGGAGTTTATGCGGTTAGAAGAAATCTCTAGCGGGCTTTAGAGAGGTTTTGGCCACTTTTCAGCCTATCAGGCTGGGAGACCAACCTGCCAACCAGCTAAATCTTGCTGTGAGATCATTTAAATCCAGCTAATGCTGGGAACACACTGCACGGTTTTCAAAGTCATCTGATCACTGTTTTTCTCACAACACACGACTGTCTGGGGTACTGTTTAGTTGTTGTGTGCACACTACACAATGCACAGGGGGTCACCAATAAGAACAATCTGGTTGTCAAACTACATTTCATAGCCAAACACGTGAGAAGTGATACATGAAAAAACGTACAATCACGTGTGAGACAGGATTTCTTCCTGTTAAAAACTGTAGCCCGCAAGAAGTTTGCAATACAAGTTGTCTATATGCTGATTTGCAGCAAAAAGGAAGAAGAATATGACGAGAGAATGGTTTCTTGCAGAAGCCATGCATGCTGATGTTCTGTTGCAGGTCTGTGACTCCTCCCCTGACATTTCCCTTGCCCTGTATGTTGCTCTTTCATTGGCTGTAGGTTGCCGTGATGTCATTTTTAGTCAAAACACATTTCAGGCTGCTGGTCAAAGCGGTCAATGTGTGAAAATTGGGGCTAAAATCGTGCAGTGTGTACCCGGCATGATCCAGCAAATAGTCTTATGCAGTTTTGCATTTTTTTTTTCGTTTAGGAAAGCTGCTAACAGTAAAATGTTAGTTTAAATGTCAATTTTGTTCTGGACACATAGCTCTGAAAATGTTCCTCCAGTAAGAAATATTGCCTGATGAGCAGGGCTAGCTGAACTCAATAATTTATTTATCTCATTTAAGACCCTTTAAAGAAAAACTGCTCTATTTCCATGGAAGCAGAAAGAGAAGCTTATTAAACAATGAATCAGTTCATTAAAAATGCATGATATAACGGAAATAAAATGCAGGAAAACTCAGCACAGCTTGTCTTTTTGTGAGAGAACAATTCAAAAGTTTTTCAATGGCAAGACATCAAAAAGCAGTATGGTTTTCCTCTCTCTAGTCCAACTTTAGAAAATGACACAGTAATGTAACACTGTACACCACAGGGAAAGCACCACCTCCGCTGCCCCACCACAGGTACAAGGTAACCTGCACTTTGAAAAGCTATTCCCAAATTGCATTCCTTGGCTTGCCGACTCCACTTAATTAATTCCACCCTCAGTGATAAGATTTCTGTCAGTGGTGGGTGTAATGATTAGGTGTCAGTGGTTTTTGTCCTTTCGCACTGAGAGGTCCCGCTGAAAACCCTGTTCTTTACACCCACCCTCACATTCAGTCAGAACACAGAGTCGCCTGCTGTCTCGAACCCCTTCTTCTCCACACAGCCTCTTCCTATACGTTGCTCATTTACCCCAGATTATTCTCATGGCTGATGCTTAACATGGCTGATTTTCCCACTGCCACAGTAGGATCTGTCTCAATAAACACAAGTTCCGTCAGAACTCTCATGGGGTAAAAAAAAAAAAACATTCACATGGCGCTCTTCTCAAAATAAAACCAATTACCTGATGGGTCCACGTGATTATGGGCAAACAGAGAGACTGTGGCTTGAGGCAAGCAGTAAAATGATGCCACTGTGGAAAAGTAATAATGTGCTGGAGCTCATCGAGCCCAGTTTGTTTTAAAGCGAAAGCAAACAGTGCTTATCAGTGAAGGATGAACTCTCCAGTCGTGTATTTATAGCAACCTAATAGATCCCAAGTGTGTAATCTGTAATCTTTTTTAGGACAAAATATTGCTTTTTTTTTTTTATCATAGTCAGGACCTTCCTTGTGGTGTTTGACTTCATAAAGTGGGATTGAAACAATAAGCAGTTTATAAAGTATTATGTTTTGTTGAAGTGAAGAACTGGTAATTAAAGTTAGATTGTGTATGTGTCAAAAGTTGCATTCAGCAACATTAATCATACATTCAGAGCCCCAGCTGCATTAATTTATCAAGTCTTTAAAGGGGTGGTGCACTGTTTTTTTTCTAGGCTCGATTGTGTTTATGGGGTACAGTCTAACATGTGTTAATGCTTCGTTTTTAAAAAAACACATTATTTTTCACATAATTTACCATTATTCCACACCGCTCTGTCCCTTCTCTGAGAAACGCGCTGATCATTTCCTGCTTTTATGAAGCCCTGCCCTCAGAAATAGGCGATGGGCTCTGATTGGTTAGCTAGCCCAGTGTGTTGTGATTGGCTAAGCCACCTCTAGTGCGCGTCTAATCGTCCCGCCCCTCACCTCAGCGGCATGTGCTCCTGTTGTATTGTAAACAACCGCGTCGTTAATATCGCTTATCAGTTTGAGCCCGATTGAGAAGCAGAGGATATTATTGAACAGGATCGTGCAGAACCTGTGCAAGCACGGCTTTTAATGGTAGGCCTATGTTTTTTATTTGTTGTTGTCTCATACTTTTAGATATGCTGTTATTTTAATCGCAACATGAGAATTTGATACCGGCATATCCCTACCTGCATCTCTAGTTTTCTCTTTCTCTTCTCTAAAGCAGCGCAGCATGGCCTCGCCCCCTTTGCTGCCTTTTCCCGGGGGCGGGGTTTATCTGGGTTTGTGATGTCACGAACCAGGGAAGTAACTTGTTGTAGTCCCTACCAGCCGTTTTTTTTAGGCATTAAACTGCCAGAATTTTAAAAGATGATATCTGAGTTTGCATTGAACTTTCAGCGTCGTAACTTTGCAGATATTGTTTATGCTCAAACAACAACATTACACACTAACTAACGTTAAGTGAAATCGCAATCAACCACCCCTTTAAATTTTCAAATGCAATATCTACTTTTTAAAATCCAAATTGAATTATTTAAACCTAATGCTGAATTATTAAAAGCTGGCACGTAATCATGACAGCTCACCATGGTTAAATTATGGTAGAAATTAAAATTAAAATTTAGAATTTTATTACAGTTTTTTTTTTTTCATTTTCTTTACCCTCATTTTTTGGCCCTTAGCAAATCATCAACATCGTCATCATCAGTTTTACTCAATTTCTTCAGTCCTTAAGCACGATTCTAACATTTGCCTCTATAAATATCTGTTTGATTAAAGGGTCATATGATGCGATTTCAAGTTTTCCTTTCTCTTTGGAGTGTTACAAGCTGTTCGTGAATAGATAAGATCCCTAAAGTTGCAAAGACTAAAGTCTCAAACCCAAAGAGGTATTCTTTCTAAAAGTTAAGACTCGTCCACACCCTCCTAAAATGGCTCGTTCTAACACGCCCCCACGTCTACGTCACTGTGTGGGAAGATTTGCAAAAGATTAGTTTGGCCTTCCAAAAGAGGACACAACTAGAAATCAGTGGTTAAGTTGTATTTACAACACTGTTCTAGATCTAGTGTATCTACACTAGAGCCCGATCGATATGGGTTTTTTGGGGCCGATAGCGCTTGTTGTTTGTCATTTCTCCGATCACAAATGCAGACATCGTTTTATGTTTACGCAGCGCGATACGCAACGCGTAAAAAGACAGTATAAGTCATTATAATCAATAATTATGTCCCCACTGGATGCTACAAATGCCTTGTTTGTAATGGCTTTTATGCTGCGTTCACGCCATATCGTAATTACCGTAATTTTGAGATGAGAGCACGTGACGTTCTACTCGGAGCTGTTCATGTCCTCGTACTCGGAATTATGCTTTTCTATGGCAACACTATCAACGCCTAAACAGAGCCTGCGGTGGTCAGGTGGTACAGCGGTCACATGGTGCAAGTCGTAGCTCTCAGAGAACTCCCAGTTCACAAGTTGTAATTACGAGTTCTACGAGGACGTGAATGC